GGAGAGGGGAAAGTGGGTGATGGGCATTTAGGAAGGCACTTGTTGGGATGAGCACTAGGTGTTGTATGGAAGTCAATTTGACAATAAATTAGATTAAAAAAACAAGAAATACAACTTTTAAAAAGATGCCATTGCCTGAGTGTCTCTTCCCCTTGTTCCACTTCTGACTTAAGTGGAATCAATTCAGATTGCTGGTTCCAAGTGTCTGACAAGACTGCTGAGTGTTTGAAGGACAGCACCTCTTGACTTACTGGGAACCCATCCTTAGGATCAGAATGAATGGGAGGTCTAGATGAGAAGTAAGGGGTTTTGGTTTTTCTCTAGGATTAAAGAGTAGGGGGTAAGGAGGAAAGCTATAGGTGAGACAGATCTCCTTGACCCTCATCATGCTTGTCTAAGTTCAACTCCAGCTTTATTATGGGAAAATAGATGCCCTGAGAAGACAGGTCCCAGGAATGAAAGGATGCTCAGGAGGAGTTGTGTGAGGATGTCAGCTGGCTCTCAAAATTGGAACTGTCATTCCCTCCCTAGGTCTCAACAACCTAAGGAGAAGACCATTGTTGATGACCTGTCTTCAGTATAAAGAGTAAATGAGCCATAATTGCCAATTTTATTGCCAGGAGGACACGATGTTTATTCAGCTACTTCAAATTGTCTCTGGGACTAGAAAGAACCTATTAACCAAGTGAATAAATATATTTAAAATGTTTCTGTTAGGAAGCTAAAGGTCAAATTCAGACCGTTCCATACTAGGGTTTTCAGATTTAATAATAAAAGTACATTGGGGCGCCTGGGTGGCGCAGTCGGTTAAGCGTCCGACTTCAGCCAGGTCACGATCTCGCGGTCCGTGAGTTCGAGACCCGCGTCAGGCTCTGGGCTGATGGCTCAGAGCCTGGAGCCTGTTTCCGATTCTGTGTCTCCCTCTCTCTCTGCCCCTCCCCCGTTCATGCTCTCTCTCTGTCCCAAAAATAAATAAAACGTTGAAAAAAAAATTAAAAAAAATAATAAAAGTACATGATATCGGGGTGCCTGGGTGGCTCAGTCAGTTGAGCGTCCAACTTCGGCTCAGGTCATGATCTCATGGTTAGTGGGTTTGAGTCCTACATCCGGCTCTGTGCTGACAGCTCAGAGCCTGGAGCCTGCTTTGGATTCTGTGTCTCCTTCTCTCTCTGCCCCTCCCCCGCTCATGCTTTGTCTCACTCTGTTTCTCAAAAATAAATAAATGTAAAAAAAATTTTTAAAAATACATGATGTCCAGTCAAATTTGAGTTTCATATAAACCATGCATAAATTTTTAATCTGAGTATGCTTTGTGCAATATTTGAAACATAATTATACTAAAAACTGATCTGTTGCTTGTCTGGTATTTAAAATTAACTGAATATCCTGTGTTTTATTTGGCAACACTACTCCATACACAACTTCTCAGTTTTTTCAACTTTTTAATTAAATTGTGACCAAGAGCTAGAAGACGCCGTATCAGAGCACAATTTTTGGGTTGATGAAAAGGGATGGGAGACATTCCTGGTTAATAATGAAGGAGAACAAGCTGCATTTTTCTTCTTAGTAGTTTCTTAAACTAGGTTTCCAGATTGACCTATTACACCTCCACTTTGTACATGTTGCTAGCTTGCCCCATTTTACCAATTTATTTCATCCCTGGAGACAGAGTGAGCAATGTCTACAATGTAAGGAGTTCCCAGTCGCTTACAGAATGGTGTCAGCACCATAGAGCTGGCTGTTAAGTTCTACTGAAATGCTATGAAACCTGCACTAAATGTTCATAAAGGAGAAAAACAGCAGCACTTCAGGGAGGCCTGGGGGGGGGGGGGCTGTCCATTCGCTAACGTGATGTAGAGGCTCACCTGGAATCATCAGCTCGTGGGTACAATGGTGTCATGTGACACCAGGTTGGGAAGCTATTTGAACTGTTCTGCTGCAGAAGCAGGGAGATAATCTATCTGCCCTGGCATCCGGGAGCACCTGCTGCCATTTTCACAGTTGTGCTATAAAAGGGGTGGATCAGACCTTCAATCTCCGTGTCTGGACCTTGGCTGGTTACGTGGTGACTTCAAGTCCCTGTTTGAAAGGAAGTGACATACCAGTCAGAAATGTACTGGGGAAGTGTGGACATATTTGAAATGTAGGAAAGAGCAGCACAGAATGCAGAACCTAGGTGATTAAAGAGAAAGGTCATTTGAAAGATTGCTGTTGGGGCCAGATTTCCCTCTCTTGGAAAACAGGGTTTCTAGGAGCCCGGACTGGAAGATGCTGTTACCTTGTCTCTCCCTCTCCTCAAATTCACTGTTGCTAACCTCAAATTAGTTATACCTTCCCACCAAAGTCAGTTATCACCCTGAAGTCTCTACACGAATGGTCCCATATTTACATGAACAAATGTTTTGGTAAAACACTAAACATGTCCTGGTGGTGTTATCTGCTGCTTCAGCAGAGGCCATCCTGGAGTAGTCCCTCCTCTCTTATCAAGCAAGTCTTCAGGTCTTGAGGCATCAACCTCAACAGAGTCTCTCAAACTCACCTCCTGCACATTTTCACTCTCTTAGTTGAGAACATTATTTTGGCTGCGTCTTACGTTTTCTGAGTATATTATGATCCTTAGGCTGCATATTTTAACATTTGCTTCTTCTTCCTTCCTTTGTATTTGCCCAGTTTATTTTAACCAAGACTTTAAAACTTAATTCAATCTTAAGTGTCTTTGAGAAGCCCTCTTTCTCCAATTATGTCCAGTTGCTTGCCTGTGTGTGCCCAACTCATGTGAGCATAACTAACGGAGTATTTGGCCCAGTGCATAACAATCATTAATGTATTTGTCAGTCTCTTTTCCTAGACGCTAGGCTCCTGGAAGACAGGGGCCTTATTTTATTTTTCTTTGTATTCCTTGGAGGTCTTAAGAAGCATTGTAAACTCCACACACCCAAAATGGAACATTGTGTCTTTTCTTTCAAATTTGGTCTTTTTTAATATATTTTTTAATCAGTTGTTGGCTATGACATCCACCAGTAGCTTAAGTTATAGTCATCTCCATCCACTTTCAAGTCCATCATTATGTTCTTTTGATTCCAGCTACAAGATATATCTTGAATCTCTTCACCTCCCTTGTGACCACTCTGGTCTAAACTAAGGGTTCTTGACCGTGGGTGACTTTGCTCCCACAGGACATTTGACAATGTGTGGATACATTTTTGATTGTCATGAGTGGGGGAAGGTGCTACTGGCATCTAGCGGGTAGAGGCCAGGAATGCTGCTAAACATCCTGCAAAGCACAGGACAGCCCCACAATAAAGAAGTATCTGATGTAGAGTATCAGAAGTGCTGCTGATGAGAAACTCAGCTCTAAGCCAGCATTTCTTACTTACCCCCGTGAGTCAGCACAATACCCAATTCACTGCATCTGTCCTTCCACACCTTTGACCTTTCTTCACATGACAGCACATGGACCGTTATAAATGCTAATTTGATCATGTCATCATCCTGCTTGAAATCCTAGTGGCTTTTCTGTACTTTTAGGGATAAATTGCAAAATTCTTAACATGGTTCACCAGCCCCGGTGGTGTAACCTTTGCCAAGGTCCCTGGTGCCACCCATGCCTCCCTCCCCTCACTGCCTATGCGCTATGTGTGCTGGCTACTGGCCTTTCTCAATCCCTTGAAATCAGGGGATTCTTCCCTTCTTAGATCCTTGGCACTTTCTATTTTCTTTGCCCAGAAGTCTCTCCCTTTTCCCTTACTTCACTTCACCTAAATCCTCCAACTCCTGTAGATTTCAGCTCAAATATTATCTCAACTGAGAGGCCTTTCCTTACTTCCCAGACAAGCTGTTGGGAGCTCAATGCTTGGGAGCACCTAGGTTGGAAAGCATGCTGCATTTTCATTTTGCAGTACTAATAATTAATGGTAGCTAACTAGTTGTGCAATTGTTGAAAGTCTGGCTCTTCTGCTAGTACATAAGCTCCAAGGGCAAGGACTACATCCCCAAAGCCTAGTGTGGTGTTTGTACCTTGTAGGCCTGCAAATGAATATTAGTCAAGGATGAACCCCCTGGTAGCTACCTACCGTGGTTCCTGGTGCCTAGTAGGCACACACTACATACTTGATGAATTACTGACTACATACATGTCCTTGAATATAAATGCTCTCCTTCTTGACTAGGGGAGATTTTAGAAGTCTGTGTGCAGTTCTTGCCCCAGTAATTCAGGTCAAAGACATGCTCTTTTGAAAGGTGTCCCTTCATTTTACTTCAGTTTCAAGTTTATTTATAATGACAAGTAAAAGTGCTAAAACCACTTACTACCAGATTGCAGCTGGTGATCCTCTAAGACTCTGACTTCAGAAAGTAAATTTAGACACTCCCTGACTCATAAGAAACAATTGCAGTTCTCATTGAACAGAAGGTGTGGAAAAGACAATTACCTTTGGGCAAGTTGGCTGGCCCGAGCCCGTGTTCTCACCTGTGAAATGAGGGTAATAACAGCACCTCCCACACAGTGTTGTTGTGTGAACTGAACTAACAGTTCAGTGTCTGGCACCTGGGGGGTGCCATGTAGGCATTTGCCATTGCTCTCAACCCACATTTTGAATCTTCATTCTCATTTGGGGATTACCAACCTCAGACTTAGGAAGGTTTTACCTGGAAGGAGGAAACTGAGTCCAGGGTGAATGATGAAACTAAATCAGGGATCACACGGTCTGCACAGAAAGGGGGCAGGAGGCGAATATAAAGGGGTAAGTGGGCCTGGTGGGGATGGGCAAACTAGAAATACAGGCTGTCCCAGGATACTTGGCATCCCTTGTGGAAACTGGAAAATCAGAACTTCCAAATTTTCAAGAGAGCTGAAATCCTCATTTTATGCAACATCTTCAATGTTCAACATCGGCAACTAAAAGTTTTAAAACCTTATTTGAACTAAACAAAATACAGCTGTGGTTTGGATGTAGCCAATGTCTGCTAGTTGGTGATCTCTACTGAGAGATTATCTGGTTGCTCTATAGGTCTGGACCAAAAGAACTCCAGACAGCAAGCAGCTGAATTCACCAATGATGAACAGTAGTCTTTCAAAATCACATAAATTTTGGAGTACGTAAGAAGAACAAAAATGAACAAGTGTTTCCATTTGCCCCAAAAGGAAAAAGGTACATCCTACATACTATAGACTGTAGTCTTGTGGAAAAGTTTAGCAAACAAATCACTTGTCTATATTTGTACAAGCTAGAGGTAACTAAATTTGACAGTGGATCCAATTAATTAAAAACTATCCTGAAGTAACTTCATTTCCTTTTTTGATCCAGTTATAAGATTGAAAGAATGGTCAACAACACTACTGAAATTCAGCAAGACACTTAATCTTTTTTGTTTGTTTGTTTCATTATTCCTTTGAATAAGAGGGAAATACAGGTTAAATGATGATGCAATTAGGTATAGGTGTTGAGCACTGATCCCTGATGCCTATTTATTTAAAGACAAATCTTCCTATTTAAGGCCCAAGTAACAATAAGAAAAAATTACAGGGGAAATCGTTCTCAATGAAATCAGATTTTAGAAAGAAATGGAGAAAAATGCATAGGAAGGGAAATCAACCTGAGGAAGATGAGAGTGGTGTGGCTGGGACTGTGAATTGCGACCATGTCCCAGCTGGGGCTTCTACTCTTTCACTGAGGTCTTCAATAATGGCATGTATGTCTCATTTTCTGGCTTCTGCCTTCTCTGTTGCTTACAGCTGCCTCCTGCTAGATTCATCCCTAGCACTGGTCCCTCTCGGCCCAGACTCCAAACTAATCCTGTCCAACAAACTTATTAGCAAGCTGTCACCCCTAGATTCAGATCAAGAAATGCTGTCCCTGTGCCCCCATGACCTTGCCCAGCAGAAGCTCTTCTTAGCCCCTGTTTGACAAGACTGGGTTTCCATTGTGTTTCCTGTCCTATTTTTGCTAATTCCTCTTCCAGGGATCAAGCTTTCTCTTTGCACATTTTAAATAATTGTAGCCCTTGGGAGAGCTCTCCTGGACCTCAGCTCCTTTTCTGTCAGATTCTCAGTTTCTTCCGTCATAACCCCCCAGAATAAGATTTCATTATATGTTTTTGAAAATATGAGGGTCATCGGTGACCAAATTCATGGCTAAATTGGTCATGTCTTTGGCTTTTGTACCTGGCTTACTCCTCCAAGTACAGCATTCCTCTGCTTACACTGCCTTCTACCCTTCTGGTCATGACCCTGAAAGTCATTTCAGGTCCTGGCTTCTTCATTGACCTAAGCTACTCTGGGGTGCTATAAGGAAGATCATGTCTTGTATCCCAATCCTCGGATATGACTAACAGCAGGCATGGTGCTCACACTTGTAGGTTACAGTGAACTGTGGGACAAAATCAGGATTCAGAAAAATTTCAACAAGTAGAAGTTAACAGGAAATGTCCTGATCTGGATCAACACACCCATTTGCTCCAGTGAAGAATGAGAAATATGTAGCTTTGTGGCATCTCCTGTTAAGAGGACTTTTGGATTTTTAGTGCATTTTATTAAAAAGTTATCTCAGTGTGAGTCATTAGTTTGTGAAGTGACTGCCAAAAAAAGCTTAGAATGAGCTCAGAATGCATTAATACAAGTATAGAAGTTGGAAGTGGAAAGTGATAGCCCCACTTTGTGCTGTGCTGGTTAGCCACACCTGGAAGCTACATGTTCAGGGAACTATAAATAATTTTGGACATAGAAGTAAGATTCAGGATGGTGATGAGATGAAAAGATTGCCAAAATGAGAATTTATTGAGGAGCTAGAGAATGATTGGCTTTCAGGAGAGGTTGGGGGCTAGAAAATGTTTTCAAATGTAATGAAGAACTATTACATGGGAAACTTGTTTGTATGATCCTAAGGAGTTGACACTAGGGCAATTGAGTGGGATATTTAAACAAAAACTTTCCAAAAGTCAAACTGGCTCTCACATAAAAAAAGGCTGTTTTGCAATTAGAGGACATCTCTGCCATTGGAGGTTATTTAAGCACAGATCAGATGACAACTTGGTCAGGATACGGTAGAGAAAAGTCAAACATCAGGGGCTTTGCAGTTATGTGACCTTTACAGGTCCTTCCAAATTCAGGCATTCTGTGATTCTAGGTATGTCTTTTAAAAACAGATCTCCATTTGAAGAGTAGGAACTTCTGCTTAATGAATATCAACTCTACAAAGATATTTCAAATAAATTACATCATTTATTATGCACAACAATCCCATGTGATGGATATTATTATTTTAATTTTCAGAGGAGGATATTATGGTTAGAGAGATTAAATATTTTCTTTCAGATCACACCTATAAGAAAGGTGGGATCTAGGGTGAGCCTAGATCCTTGTCCTATGAAAGGATTCAGTTCATTAAAACTTCTAAAACTTTGAAGTCTTATGAAGGTAGTTCTGTGGACTTTAACCTTGAAATATGCTATGAAGGAAAGAGACCCATCCTGGAATGCAAGAGACTTGGTATTTAGAGCCAATTCTGCCAAAAACATGGTTCACCACCTGGTCTTGCTTTCCTTGATAGTAAAATTGGGGTATTGAGTAGATGATATCAAAGGCTCTGTCTAGATTTAACCTTTTATAGTTTTAAAATGGTTAGTTAAGATAATTAAATTGAAATGCACATCTTTATTTTCCCAAAATACTTTGTAAGGTTTGAACACGGTTCTCCTATATCCTTAACCATATGGAGTCTTGATACTATAGAACTTGACCCCTAGACCACATTCTCCAAGACTCCCATTTCCTTGCTAAGCCAGCTTACAATAACAAACACAGCAAAGATTATCCAAGACAGTTGTGTTCAGCAACATCCCATGTGTTCCTTTCCCAGACTTCCTTGTAGTTATATTCGAGTTTATATTTCCAGCTCAGGCTGAAAGTCTATGAAGAGACACATGGTTAAAAGTAGGCACGTCTCTTCCATGTCTCTCTTCTGCCTTGGCTGAGCTGGTAGCATCATGATAAGGAAAGTCTAGATCCCTGAGTCCGTGGATAGAGACGTTACCAAATGCTTTCAATATTGAGTGGGTGACATACAACATTTACTGAGACAAGTCACTGAAGTTTTTAGACTTTATTTGTTACCACAGCTTAGTATGACAGATGCATATACTTTGCATTGATTCCCAGAAATGTAAATAAACAAAATGTACCAATTAAAAAAAAGGCAAAGGTTTTCAGATTGGATTTAAAGGGCTGACCTAACTGCTGGATATAAAGAACCCAAGTTAAATATAAAGGCACATGTAGAGTAAAAGAATAGAAAGAGATTAGCCTTACTACCCCTAACCACATGAATGCAGGAGTAGTTATGTTATTACCAAAATAATTGTCTGAAATATGTCAGAGTAAAAAATAATACTAGGAATAAAGAAATTCATTTCATGATGATAAAATATAATTCAACAAGAGGACATAACAATCCTAATGTTCGTATTTCTAAACATTATAACAGATAACAGAGCTTCAAAGTACTTGCAGCAAAATCTGATAACACAGGAAGAATAAACAAACAAATCCATAATTATATCCAGAGATTTCAACAGCACTCTTCCAATAATAAATAGAACAAAGAGAAAAAATCAATGAGTATAGAAGACTTGAATAGCACAATTATTCAATTTGACCTAATCAACAATCATATATATCTCTATGCAACAACAGCAGAATATATATTATTTTCAAGTGCACTCAGAATGTTTGGCAGAAAGTATTAAAATCCAAAATATATAAAATATGTTATTTTTTAAAAAATATTTTTAATGTTTTTATTTATTGTTGAGAGACAGAGCGTGAGTGGCGGAGGGGCAGAGAGAGAGAGAGGGAGACATAGAATCTGAAGCAGGCTCCAGGCTCTGAGCTGTCAGCACAGAGCCCGATGTGGGGCTCGAACTCATGAACTGTGAGATCATGACCTGAGCTGAAGTCAGACACTTAACCAACTGAGCCACCCAGAGGCCCCAAGGCATGCTCTTCTACCACAATGAAATCAAATTAAAAATCAATAATGGGAGGATATCTGGACAATCTCCAAATATTTGGAAGCTAAATTGCACACTTGTAAATAATCCATGGGATCAAAAAGAAATAAAAAATTAGAAATTATTTTGAATTGAATGAAAATAAAAAGAAAACACACAGAAAATGTAGGTTGTTGCTAAACAGAGCTTAGAGGGAAATTTACACTATTAATGTCTGTATTAGAAAAGAGAACGGGCTCATATCAATGACCTAAGAAACTTAACAAACAACTTTGAGAACCTAGAAAAAGCAGAGCAAATTAAACTCAGACTGAACAGAAGAAAGGAAATAATGAAAATCGGAGAAGAAATCAAGAAAATAGACAAGAGAAAAATCTACAATCAATGAGAGATTTTTATTGTTATATTTTTTTGTTTATTTATTTTTGATAGAGAGAGTATGAGTGGGAGGGGCAGAAAGAGAGGGAGACACAGAATCCAAAGTAGGCTCCAGGCTCTGAGCTGTCTGCACAGAGCCCAATGTGGAGTCTGAACTCACTAACCATGAGGTCATGACCTGAGCCAAAGTCAGATGCTTAACCAACTGAGCCACTCAGGCGCCCCAAAAGCTTTTTATTTTTAGATCAATAAAATCAATAAATTTCTAGTCAGACCAAGCAGGAGAAAATAGCGAAGACACAAATGATCAACATTGGGAATGAGAGATGGGACTTCATTATAAATACACCGATATTAAAGGGAAAATCAGGAAATATTATCATCAATTTTATGACAATAAATTTGGCTATTTAGATGAAATGGACAAAGTGCTTGAAAGACACAAACTACCAAAGCTCACTCTGTCAAGAAAGAGATAGCCTGAATAGCCCTGTTGGGAGAAAATTCTCCATGTCTCTGGTGTTTCTACATGTCTTTTGAAAGACATTTGTATACTGAACAGCCTTGGAAGATAGAAATAGTGTCTCCTTTTGGAGCAGACAGTATGTTTTTTTTGCTCTTCAGAGTAAAAGTCAGAAGACAGGTTTGCTAGCAGCCTGTATAGTAAATAAAAGATAAACAAACAAACACAAGATTAAAAAAATATATTTTTGTGTTTCCTAAACTAGGGGTTCCTCAGTTGTGACACAAATGCCTAAGGCATGTG